ATTGAACCAAAGGAAGCAAGGCAGATGCAAGACTTTAAAATTGTGACACTTTTTATGGGTCAAATAGACTCAAAAACTGTAACAACAGCTGTGCGGGGGGCCCAAACACATTTTTTGTCAGGGGGCCCAAGATTTCTGGCGGCGCCCCTGGTCACAAGTATAACCTAAAAAGAGCTTTATGGTACCCTACAAGTAGTAAAGCTCGTTAGCTGAGTACCTCATTTCATTTATTAATGAAACATTTGTGTGTTTAATTTCAAACCATTTCAACCCAGACAGCTGTTGAAACGGCTTCAAGAAATAAATCTTACTATTGTTAGAGGCTGGCTGGATTGTTTCATACTCAGAAGTATCACCTGCAAAATAATAAAAAGGTCAAGGTTAAAAATATAGCATGAATTTAAGACGATTAGTATTAAGACTGTAACCAGTATAACCTAACAGAAGCTTTACGGTACCCTACAAGTTTATGATAAAGTTATAATATAAAAATTTAGTTTTTCCTATAGTTTATGTTAAAAAGTTTGAAAAATCCCCAGTGAGTAGCAGGAGAATACACTTTATAAAAACAACAGAGTTACTAACCATAAAGCAGAGAGCTGTAAACTTGACTCTCTGCCTGGTTGAGTCCTTGATTTGTGGAGGAGCTCTGACTGCTGACCTCTGTCCTAAATTATGGAAAAATTAAACTGAAATTAAATTCACTGCAGGATTGTTGAGAAAAGTAAATATCAGTTTACTGACCTGATGCTCCATGAAGCTGTGGATGAGGGGAACAAAGTAAACTTGTTGCATTATGGTGAATTTATCCTCAGTTTTGTTAAAACAGCCAAATAAATTAAAATCACTTGATTTTTATGTATCACTTCACATCCCACAACAATGAGAAGAAAAAAGTCTCACATTTGAACCGACTGCAGCGCCACCATGACAGCAGGAGAATGATGAGAATAAAGAGAATAAAGAGAACGACTCCAACAACTGGTCCAACGATCAACATCAGAGAAAATGAAGAGCTGAGAGAACTGGATACAGTTACTGCAAATAAGAAACATTGAAAATGAGAAAACATTTTTATGGATTGAAGATAAAAACATATCATTGGCACTTTATAACAATCATCCAGGATGTGATTAATTCCTGACACAGTAAGATTTTGTTCCCCCAATATATTTGGAGCAAATAAGTATTGTCAGGAACTGGAACAAGCAGTGAGGGAACTACTTTTGTTTTTGCTGTATTTGTAATGAATTAGTTTGTAAAGAAAAGATAAGACTTAGTGTTTACCATTCTCTTTCTATTGTTTAAAAATAAAATTCATTAAACATTTTCCTCCTCCTCACCTCTAACAGACATCCAGCTTCTTGGTGAATCTTTTCCTGAATGTTGACATTTGTAGAAACCTTCATCTGACTTTGACACTGCAGAGATCTTCAGCTCCCCTCTGCTGTCATTATGGAGGAGTTTATCATTATGATAGAAAAACACATTGGAGAGAAGTTGTTGTTTTTTATCTCTGCAGCTCAGAGTAACAGGATCTCCCTCAGTCACAGGATGAACAGGACTCAGCAGGATTACATTATTCTTAATGTCTGTACAACAGTCAGATAAAATTACATTTCAGGCATTAGTTTCAAAGATGGTGCTGTATGTCATTGGAGAAAGATTGTACATTTACTTCCGGATGTTAGAAGTAAATGTATACTTTCTACTCCAAAGTTAACAGAAACACAGCCAGCATGCCGTCATAAAAATCCTGATTTTATTTATGTTATGATTCTTATTTTTCTAAAATATAAATTGTATTTTGGTTGGAGTGAAAAAACGAGTATTAGTTGTTAAGCACCTCTTGAACTTATAATGTTTTACAATCATTAGTTACCTATGAAAACAGACTGCACATTACAGGGAAATTATGTAAGAAAAGTCTTATTAATTACAGCCTACCCTGTACAGTGATGTTGACAGCATTGCTGAACTCTCCTGATCCAGACTCACACCAGTAAACTCCACTATCAGACTGGTTCATGTTGATGGTGCATGTAGATCCACTCATTTTCCCCGAGTCAGAGCAGTCTGACAAGTAGCCTATTTCTGTAACCCTCATCACTCTCCACTCAGCAGAGTTTCCCTCACAGCTCAGAGTCACAGATTCAGATCTGAAGTGTTGAACTCTGTCAGGATTCACTGAGAGAGAAGCTGCTGGACGAGGATCTGGAAAATAAATATACAAAGACATTTAATCTAGAACAAATTGTAAAACAGTTTCTTCAAGTCATCTATGGCTTTACTTCTAAATATCTGTTTTAAAATTAATCAAACAAACACATTCAGCAGAAACTTTAGAAACGTTAGCAGTTAATTGCTGCTTTGCATTTTGAATTAAGCAATACCCAAAAATAATTACTTAGACAAACTTGTATTTATTTCTTTACATCACTGATAAATTTGCCGACTACACATACATTTCAAACTACTTTTAAAAATAAAGTACATGGCTGAGTAAATATAAAGGAATAATTTCTTGCTCACTGAGAGGAGACACACAGATAAACTGACCTGCTGACCAGACAAAAGTTGGATCTCTGTATTTTGGTTTTCCACTTCCTGCTTCACACACATAACCTGCTGTGTTATTGAGTCCATGAACAATGTAGACGTTCTCATCAGTCCCATTGGAGCTGCCAGGCAGCAGCTCATAGTTGTAGAAGATGTTTAATGGTTTAGGAACAGCTTTATACCAGAAGAACCTGGTTCCTGCAGGTGGATGTTGAACCTCACAGCTCAGAGTCACTGAGGCTCCAGGACTCAGCCATGATGGAGACACAGAGAGTTTATCTGTTGGAGAGTCACATTGATTTGTTCAACACTGTTCCATTTCAAATAGTCAAGTGTTAAATATTTCTATATAACCTAAAGGCTCCAATTTAAAGAAAAATAGTTTGACACACTAGAATATTTTCAGAGTTGTAGCATATTAAAAAGATTTTTAATACATCCTAACTCCATTTAAAAAAAAAAAACATTTTTAAATGTTTATTTCATTTTCTCGCTTTAGAATGAACTTGGAGAGAAAATTTTATTGTTTTTACTTTTACATCCTATTTTTATTATCTGTTCTTGCATAACTATTAATAGTTATATACATTTAAACTAAGACAGACTTGAGTTAAATCAAACTTCTGGGTTGAACTCAAGACATAAATTAAGTTGTAATTTCAGCCATTTGTACCAGTGAGGAAGAACAAGTTGGGAAAAAGGATGAAACCAATCAGTGGCTGAAATATCTAAAATATTAACACTGACAGCAATTACTATGTAAACATAGTTTTAGAAAAACATACTCATCACTTACTCATACCAAACACATTGAAAAACTTGTAGTATTTATTTCAAATATATGCAATATTTATGACCAACTTACACACAGTTAATACGACAACATCGCTCCAGGATGTTGAGCCATCGCCACTTGTTCCTCTGCAGCTGTATTCTCCACTGTGAGACTCAGTAACTGAAGCTATGGTAATGTTTTCATTGGATGTTTGACCTTCATTTAACCTGGCTGTTCTCCATTCATACATCCACTGAGATCCTTCTCCTCCTGGGATCTCACACCGGAGAACAACTTTCTCACCTTTGTATATGAGAGGCCAGCTTGGTCTCAGGGTCACAGTGGGTTTTATGAGGCCCTAAACAGAAGTTCATCAGGCAGCTCATCTCCATTCTTGTCCCTCTTCCACCACATCAACACTATTACCAGTGACTGACTTATTTCCTTGTTCTAACCATAAACCAACTCATTTAAGAACCAATTCAAACCTTCACAACAAATTAAAATAACATCATAACAGGCTGTGTTTTGCTTGGCACTCACATTTTTCACCAAATAAATAGCTCTTTACCATCCACTTTTTTCACTTACACTTTTAAAAACACTGAGCAAAATAATTTGCTATAACAATCATTCTCTTCATTTTCTTTAGGTAAATAGCGACTAAAGCAACATTTTCATCTGGTAAAACATTTTTCAGCTGTGGACAGAATTTTTGTAGCTTTCTGTGCATTTTTACAGTTAAGTGGACAGAATGTGATAAAATGGGAGTTAAAACAGCTTTTTAAACACAGAGATGCTTTCCTGTCAGCTCATGGTATCGTGGCTTAATTATTGGTGTTGATCTCTTAAATGTTCATTTATATTCTCAGAGTTTCCTGTGTTGTCACTCAGTCTGCAAAACAGCTAAAATCTTATCGGTCAAACATTTGGCGTCAACCTTCACAAATATTGACAGGAACATTCACATACATTAAAAAAAGACGCGTATGTCTGCAGTACAAGAATAGAAAACAGCCAAACAAGAGCAACAGTTCACCACACAAAAAATAAAAAAGATTTCAGATTCAGAAAATATAATAAAATATA